TCCATTTTGACTCAGTTCGTACGACCAAAGCTAAGGTTGATACAGAGAGAGTGCTTTGACAGCTTTAGAAGCTTATTGAAAATCTAGAAGAGTTTTAAGGAATCCAATAGAATCTCATGGAATCCTAAGGAATCTTACGGAATCTTATGGAATCCTAAGGAATCCTAGGGAATCCTTGGAATCCGAAAGAATCACAGGGAATCTTTGGAATCCAAAGGAATTCAGGATTCCAGGATTCCGATTTTCCCCCCTTGACACCCACCCACACCCCACACCCACTATGCTCTCGTTATAGTCGATATATTTCGTACAGTGATGTGTTGCAACGTATGTTATTTTCAACATATGAAATCCAGAAAAAATCTTCTTGTTCACATCGTTGAGTTTATAGATTTGTGGAAGTGTTTGTACAATTCAGTTTCAGTCGACTTATATATGATTTAAAATTTGATACAATGAAACTCAGAGATTCTGAGAAAGTTATTTTCAATTGGTTCAAGTGAACTCGTTTATTGAATTGGATTTAAATGTGTTGCCTAGTTTTAAATTAAAATAATAGCTGTGATCTCGAGATATTTCGTAGAGGATGTTTGTGAAGATTTTAGATAGACGAAGAGTTAGCGTTGATGGAACTACGCGTTATTATATTTCTTCTTGTCAAGAATCGTGCCGCTTCCATACAAAACATATGCTTATATACTTATCCATCAGAGAGAAGGAAAGAATATGAAAGGAAAGAATGATAAGAACAGAAAATAACATAAGACCATATATGGGAAGAAAGAGATAAACGGACAAAGTATAAGGACGAAGATATCAGAACAATACGGTCATTATGCCATACAGTGTACTCAAGCGTGAGCGTTACAATGTTGTGTTAATTGACATATAAAAGAAACGATATACAGAGTACTCACAATCCATATAGATAGAAGTAATTACTGATTCATTAATGGATATGTGAGCATAAGTAAGATGTACCGAGATATAACCCAGATCCAGAAATTCACAATTCAAAGAATTCAAGATATTCAAGTAATATAAGGAGCTCAAGGAATTTAAGTAATTCAAGGAGCTCAAGGAATTCCAGGAATTCAAGTAACCCAAGCAATTCAAGGAATTCAAGGAAATGAAGCAAGTCGAGCAATTGAAGAAAGTTGAGCAAAATTGAACGAATTCAAGCAGGGTGCGGGTACAGATTCACACACGCACATCCACACCCACACCACCCCGCACCCACACGCATACCCATCCCACACCCTAGTTCTTTTGCAACTGTTAAAAAAATTTGTCTTGCCAGCTCAGTGTAAAAATAAAACGCAAAACTGCGATGAAATGATGATCATCATGAAAATGGTGACGATAAACAAAAGTGACCTAAATAAATGCTATCTTTTGTGTGTTTAAAGGTGTGTGCATAAAGAAATTTTCTCATGATATTACGATTATGCAACAATCTTTCGTCAGTAGCCTTCTACTGTGCTTTTTCATAGCTTTCAGCCGCAGTCAAACGTTCAACGAGCGTATTCATGCATCAAAATGGACTTCATTCAAACACACTCATAATAAACAATATGCCACTGCTGCAGAAGAACAATATCGGTGAGAGACGAACAATTAAACCTATCTTATGGGTGTAATGTTAATATTGATTTCTCTAGTCGAGCAGTGTTCCAAAAAAATTCAGCTATGATTGATCGACACAATCATGAAGCAAACAAGGGTCTACATTCATACACACTCAAAATCAATCAGTTTGCTGATATGGTACGTTTGTTCATCTGGGAATTACTTTTAAATAATTCTGGTGTTTCTTTTTGTTATGATTCAGACACATGATGAGTTTGTACAAAAGATGTTAGGTGGATTAAATATGAAATCAGCCTCATCGTTATTAAGCAAGTCGAATCGCCGTACTCATCACCCACCGGCACATGCATCATTGAACCTGTCAGCTGCAGTTGGTAAGGACTTTCACACCTTTCGATTGTGAACAATATAAACTATATTTTCTTCTTGTTCTATTAATAGATTGGCGCAAATCAGATGCTGTCACTCCAGCAGACAGCCAGCAACAATGTGGTTCATGTTACGCTTTTATGTCATTAGGAACACTTGAAGGACAACATTTCATAAAGACAGGCAAATTGATACCATTGTCAGTACAGAATATTCTGGATTGTTCCGGCAAATATGGTAATATGGGCTATAATGGAGGACTAATGGATGCTTCATTTCAATATATCAAGGATAACAAAGGTGTAGACGCAGACGCTAGCTATTCATACGAAGCAGTAGATGGCAAATGTCGTTTCAAACGAGAAAATGTAGCCGCCACCGATACTGTTAGTTTTACTATATGTAATTCTTATTTCTGTCTGTCTATTTTATTTTTTTGTCATAGGGTTTTATTGATATTGAGAAGGGAAATGAAACCGCGCTAACAATAGCTATTGCTACAGTGGGACCAATTTCAACTGCAATGGATGCTTCCCAGCCATCTTTTCAATTCTATTCATCTGGTGTATATGACGAACCCAAGTGTACTTCAGACTTGGATCACACTTTGGTTCTTGTTGGATATGGTACAGCAACGAATGGTACGAAAAAACAAGATTATTATATATAAAAAAATTCCTGGGGTATAACATGAGGTATGGATGGTTACATTTTGATGAATCGAAACAAGAAAAATCAATGTGATATTGATGATTTGGCTAGTTATCCACTTGTCTAAAAATAAATAACTTTATTTGAATAAAAACTAATTGTTCGTAATTGGGTTTCCTTTGTCGCTTTTTTTCTTTATATTAAACTACGGAAAAGCGCTGCAAAAAACTTCGTTCAAATCTGTTTTTGAACTGCTTCGAAAATGTTTACACATATTTGAAAGAAATTCGTTTAATCGATGACTGTTTGTGCAGTTATATTTGATATTACTGATGATGTTGTTTTTCTTTTATGTTGACAAGAAAACGACTTCTAAAATATTGTATAAATTTGGTTTAATGATGCCGCATACATATTCATTACATTCTCTATTCACGTGAGATTCATTATACGATAGCGCCATCTCAAGAACTAATTATTTTATATATGTATTTTATACACAACCAATCAGTTTTTCCGATCGCTTCGGTTTTTGGTTCCTAATTTTACCAATTACTATTACACGTGTTTGTCTTTGATTCTTTTGATATACACACCATCATGCATAATTTGTTTTATCCTCGCTCTTTTTTCTACCATTACTTTTATTTTCCTTCGTATCTTTAGAGTAAAGGTGACTGTTTTTTAAACAGAATATCAGACTTCTTTATTTTCGTCTTTTTATTTGATATGACTGCGATTATTCGCAGAGCAATTCATTTAAAACACAGAATTTACTATTATCACAGTGATTTTCTTTTGCCTTATTCTATTAATTTAAATGGAATAAAATACAAGACGACGGTTGAAAACAACGAACCAAAACCACATAATCAAATAAGCGATACAAAAAATGATCATTTGTTAACTGAACGTCAATCAGCAACATTTAATGTTGAAGAACTAACACAGTTTATGTTTGGTGGACCTGGAAATTATTTTGAGATCAATACACGACGTCAAATCAGTTCAGTAAAATAAAATTATTCAATATCTTGTACTATCCATTTCTTTTCTCTGTCTAGTTCGTCTGGCTCTTGATCATCCGATACATGGTACACATTTACCATTTGAATATCTCACAGCCGATGAATATTATTCACTTACTATTCGCAAAAGTCTTTTAGCTATTCAAGAAGCAAAACGCTTAAACATTACTAACAACAAACATCGTAGATGGTTTTTTGATATATTTGTCAATAACCGTTTCGTATTCTTTATTCATACAATAATGTCTTTACATTCACTCGAAACGATGACTACTGAAGAACAGAAACGGCAATTTTTGCCACTTGCTCAATCTTTTCATATTACTACTGCTTATGCACAAACAGAACTTGGTCATGGAACAGATGTACAACGATTAGAAACAGAGGCTGTATTTGATCCTACAACGGATTCATTTATACTCAATACACCTACATTGACATCGACTAAATTCTGGCCAGGTGGATTGGGTAGAACAGTTAATCATGTTCTACTTATGGCTCAATTATACACACCTGATCGTAATCATCCATGTGGTTTACAAATGTTTTTAGTACAAATCCGAGATTTGAAAACACATGAACCATTACCAGGTTAGAACTTTTTAGATTATCAGTTAATAGATTGTTTATATAAGAACATGTTTAGGAGTAGAAACAGGTGTGATTGGTGTTCATTTTGCGCACACTTTTGGTGACAACGGTTATCTTCGATTGAAGAATGTGCGCATTCCACGTACTCAAATGCTCATGAAATTTGATCAAGTATAGATTAATTTTCAGAGTCAAATTTTATTCCATTGTGATGCATTTCTCTTCCTCAAAGGTTGATGAACAAGGTAAATTTCATAATCAAAGTGATGCTCGTCTTTTATATGGTACACTACTTCATGCACGCATTTATCTCTGTGAAAGCGTCACAGTTGCTCTTGCTCAAGCAATTACTATTGCTATGCGTTATTCAGCTGTTCGATTTCAAGGACAAAATTCAAATGGGTATATTTTCCTTTGTCTTTTAAAATGATCTTATTTAACTTATTATATTTAAATAAATAGAAATGAAATACGAATTCTTGATTATCCATTACAACAAGCGAAGCTTATACCATGTCTATCTGCTACCTATGCATTTGTCATTACTTTCATGAAACTTGATAATTATTTCAATGAATTAAAAACAAATGAAGAGATTTATCTTGAACAATTGCCTGAGGTGAGCAATGCCATATCTCTTTCTTTAAAATTATCAAAGATTTATGATACGTTACTATTTTAGATTCATGCTCTTTCATCCGGTTTTAAAGCATATACAACATTAATAAGTGAGCGAATGGCTCAAGTATGTCGTGTAGCTTGTGGTGGCCACGGATTTTTAGTAGGAAGTGGATTAGTAGGAATTAGGAACTTTCTTGATGCAGGTTGTACTGCTGAAGGCGACAATGTTGTTTTACTTCAGGAGACTACTAGGTATTATTAATAACTTGTAAGAGATCATTTAATATATGATTAATGTAAATAGATATCTTCTAAAAGTTATGCAAGAAGTTGAAGAAAACAATGGTAAACATATTGATTCATCCGTTGCTTATTTGAGTTTGCCATTGTGGTCATCAAGAACAACCATGAATCTTGATGATTACTGTCGTGTATTTGAAAGTCGATCACAATTGTAAGTATATCAATCCAATTAACTGATTCTGTTTATTTATATTAATTATAGATTGATCAAAGAGGCCTGTAACACAATGTTAGAATTATCGTCGTCACCGTCTTCTGATGAATTCTTGAACAATTCAATTCAACTCGTACATATAGCTAACGTAGGAAATCAACCACTCGTTAAATTATTCAAAGGTTATTGTATCACCATTTGTAGGCTCACATGGAAACATATTTGATGCGAGCATTTTATGAACAAGTGAATAAAGCCAGTCAACATCCATCAATTTCATCAATTCTTGAACAACTCTTTTATGTCTTTGCTATTCACACATTACGCAATGAATCAGCTGATTTCATTCGAGTATGTATATCAATTTAAACATGCCTTCATAATTCTATTTGTCTAGTAGTTCAAATTATTATCAGCTGATCAAATATATGAACTTGAAACTCGTACTTTACCTGATATGTATTCTCAACTCCGTCCAAATCTTGTTGCTCTTGTCGATGCTTTTGATTTTCATGATCATGAACTTGGTGAGTCTATCATATTTTAAACGATTTAATGAATATTTTTATATTAAATAGACTCTTGTTTGGGTCGTTATGATGGACAAGTATATGAAGCACTAATGGAACGAGCTCGACTCAATCCAACAAATGGACACAAAGTAAGGAATACGAGATTTTGGGATAGAAAGTAAAGATCCGTTCTCTTTCAGGTTCATCCAGCTTGGTTGTCATTAAAACAAGGAACATTATCCATACTCTAGATTTTAGCAAATTTTGTCTTCTATCCTCGCTTGATTTTTTCTGTTATTATGTTAGTAATTGCAAGAAAAAAGATTAAATAAAATATTTTACTCTAATCTTTCTTTAACGTTTCTGTTAATGAAATTTTTGACTATTACGAAAGTGAACATGATATATCTTAATTATAATTTCATTGAATGAATTGATTTTCGTATTGATAATGTAGAAAACGTGGAAGTTATTATTCATAATTAATAGTAAATTGTATCTTTCGCGTGATGCTAGTTAGATTACTTGTTCAAACAAGTTTGGTGCAGAAAATGCATTTAATCTTATTTTATAATCTTAGATTCGAATAATAAGCATCGATACGTATAACTAAAACAAAGTTCTCATGAAAGACTTATCATTGACGACAAAAGAAATTCAAATTATAGGTTTTTTTTATTTCTTCATATCTTAATTTAAAAAAATAGAAAAATGACTAAGAGTAAATACCAAAAATAGAATCTGATGTCTGGTTTTTTGTTTTCAGTGGTTGTTTATTCTTCATTGCTACGTTGCCATTGTGAAACCCATTGATCGAAGCATCTGTTGCTGCATTCGTGTGAGCATAAATTTCTGCTAATGTTTTCGGCTCATTAATATCCTCGCCATTGCCCGATGTGTTCTGCTCGACGCACAAACGACAAGCATTTTCAGCACTTAATTTATCAAATTTGTGTTCAACTGGGTGTGGGTGTGGGTGTGGCTGGGTGGGTGTGGGTGGCTGGGTGTGGGTGGGCGTGAGGGTATGGGTGTGGGTGTGGGTGTGGATGGGTGTGGGTGAGTGTGGATGGGTGTGGGTGCAGGTGTGGGCGTGGGTGGATGTAGGTGTGGGTGGAAAGAGACAACACCCACACCCACCCACACCCATACTCACACCCACACCCATACTCACACCCACACCCACACCCACACCCATACCCACACTCACACCCACCCACACCCATACTCACACCCACACCCACACCCATACCCACACTCACACCCATCCACACCCACCCACACCCACCCACACCCATACTCACACCCACACCCACCCACACCCATACTCACACCCACACCCACACCCACACCCACACCCACACCCACACCCACACCCACACTCACACCCGCTCACACCCGCCCACATCCACCCACACCCACACCCACACCCACACCCACACCCACCCACATCCCCAAGACTAACACGTTCAACAAAATCAGTAACGTGTTCAACCATGGAATTATTTTCTTTGTTTCATACGTGACATAAACATTATATGAAAAAAACCTATTCCATTTTACTTAAGTAAATACATAAGCTTAACAATACATTGTTTTATTATAGAAGTCTTTTTTTTATTAAGTGCAGATTAAATCCAATGTAAAAGAGAAATATCCTTAAAACTATAATTCTTTCCTAAGCAATGTTTAAATTGATTTTTAAGTATTGATTAAATATTTAGTGATCATTTGTGTGTTAGAGATTCATTATTAGTAAGGAGGATAGACTATAAAACGATGGATATGAATAAATATGTTAATTAACAGAGAAAGCAAAAATTTTATTCTAAAAATATTTCTATATCAGTATAGAATATATCTCCGAATTATCATAAGCGAAACAAGAAACCATTTATAAGATGAGCTCAAATTTATTTATTCAATATAAACATAAATAAATTTAATAAAATAAATTATGTTAGATTTACTATTTCAAATGGGTAAATCAGTCTCATCGACTGTTTTACGCCATTGACCCTTCAATGGATTATAGAATAAGTAAAATTCTTCTTCTTCTGGAATATTTTTCACATTGATATAATGAAGATCAAACGGAGTTTCATTCTAATGACCATAGAAATTGAACCGAACACTGATTGAATGAACGTTTTTGTGATTTAGTTCAAAGGTAAATGGTTCTTGAGTAAATTCTATTTCGCTCGATTATCAATGGTTACTTGAATCAATTGAAAAAGTGTAAATGGAATTAGAGGATTATCTGGCTCACGTTCTTCAATGGTAATTATAGATTTATATTTATTATTGTCGTTTTGACTGTTACACGAACAGGTCGTCGGAGAATCCATGGAGGAATTGGTATGTTCAATCGTTCCATTAAACTTCCCATGATTGTGTCACTAAATGCGTGAATATTCATTGTTGCACGTTTATTTTACGTATATTTCAATACGTTTATGCAATAATTCCAGTGAATTCGTTTCTTGATCTTAAATTTATCATTTCATTGTAATATAATTGGCTATAAGATCCAATATGATTTGTTTCATTTGTCAAAACTCACTCAACTGTTTTGTATTAAAATATTATCTTTCAATTAATAATTTTGACAACAGAACATTAATGTAACAGATGTGACTTGCTTGCGTACAAACATGAAATCAAGTGATCGTGTCAAAATGTGACAGAATTTGATTAATCAAATAGATAACAAACGTCCTTGACAAAATGTTGAAGTATTGACAATGGCTCATTCTCAAAAGAGATACAATTTCTTTTTGTGTATAATTAGCATCAAATGACTTCGAAGAGAAACTTGTTCAATGATTTCCTAGTCTAACTACTGATCATTGTCATAGCTATTTAATACTGTCATAGTGACCTAAAGATCTTGTAGCTATTTAAACGTGCCATAGCTATTTAAATGCTTCCACAGCTATTCAATCATTTGTATAGCTACTTAGTCTTTCACATGGCTTTTTAAACTTATCATAGCTACCTAGAGATCTTCTAGCTATTTAAAGTTGCTATAGCTATTTAATCTTTCACATGGCTATTTAATCTTATCACAGCTATTTAAAGATCCTATAGCTACTTAAAGTTGCTTTAGCTATCTAATGACTTGCACAGCTATTTAATCATTTACATAGCTATTTAATGCTATCATAGCTATCTAAAGATCTTGTAGCTATTTAATGATTTGCATAGCTATTGAATCTTTGACTTGGCTATTTAATGCTATCATAGCTATCTAAAGATCTTGCAGCTATTTAAACTTGCTATAACTATTTAAAGATTTGCACAGCTAATTAATGATTTGCATGGCTATTTAATCCTATCGTAGCTATCTAATGATCTTGCAGCTATTTAAACTTGCTATAGCTATTTAACGATTTGCATAGCTATTTAATGCTATCATAGCTATCTAAAGATCTTGTAGCTATTTAAAGTTGCTATAGCTATTTAATTATTTGCATAGCAATTTAATCATTTACTTGCCTATTTAATCTTATCATAGCTATCTAAAGATCTTGTAGCTATTTAAAGTTGCTATAGCTATCTAATGATTTACATAGCTATTTAATCATTCATTTGGCTATTTAATCCTATCATAGCTTTCTAAAGATTTTGTAGCTATTTAATGATTTGTATAGCAATTTAATTATTCATTTGCCTATTTTATCTTATCATTGCTATCTAAATATCTTGCAACTATTTAAAGTTGCGATAGAAAAGAAAAAAAACCTAAATCATAGTCTGAGATTTCTAACAATAAAAAATACTGACAATTATATGTTTATTCTTATAAGCATCAAAAAGAATACTACGTTATCATCACTAGTAGATATTTTGCTCAAATATTCGTCCTACCTTGCTGATTCTTCAGAACAGGGTTTGTTTGGTTGATATGAGGATGAATTCGTTTTTTCCTTATTTCATCTTTTTATCATATAATATCTTTTACTTTAATAAAAAAAAGCAAAATAAACCATGAGTAGAGATTTGTTTGGTTGAGTGAGAATGAATTCGTTTTTTTTATGTAATCTTTCTATCATTTAATATCTTTTACTTCGAAAAAAAAAACTACGATCAGGGGTTTGCGTTTGGTTGATATCAGGATGGATTGTTTTTTTTTATTTCATCTTTTTATCATCTAATATCTTTTACTTCAAAAAAAAAAAAATAAAATAAATCACGAGCAGAGGATTGTTTGGTTGATGTGAAGATGAATTCGTTTTTTTTATTTTATCTTTTTATCATCTAATATCTTTTATTTCGAAAAAAACAAAATAAACCACGAGCAGGGAGGTTGCTTGGTTGATGTGAGGATGAATATAAAAAAACCAGAACGCAAAACAATGAGCCACGCAGCTATTTAAATAATTCAGTGTCACTGCTATTTTGTTTAAATTGCTAGCTAACTATGAGAAACACAGTATCAAAGCTTTTAAATAGCCAAAGTTTCCTTTAAATAGCAACATTTCATTAAAAAGTATCTCTTTTGAGAATTTTAAATAGCCAAAGCTTTCTTTAAATAGCGAAATGTTTAATTAAAAAGTATCTCTTTTGAGAAGCTACGATTGACAATTGATTAAGAGAGTAACGGCTTGATGTACTACAATGCAAGTGATAAGCGTTATGAATACCAGAGTTTTTCTATAGTTAACATTATTATCTGACTATTTAGATGTTTTATCAGATGTTTCTCTTGAACATCTGAATTCATGGATAAAACTTGGTTTGTAAGTTGCCACTCTCACGTTTTTATTACCACCGTGTCTTCGTTTTGACAAAGCCACAAGTAAGTCAGTTTTTACCTCCTCTTGACAAACAAATTTACTACGATTTTTTACAGCAAAAAATGTCTCTAAGGATTAATTGGTTGTTGTTCATTCTTGTTTTATCCTTGTTCAGCTTTGTTGAAATGCAATTTCGCCTATATCACACTAAGTATCCAACTAATCACGGTGCTCAAACATGTTTATATCGATATACCAGCGAATTCAATGGTAGAGCTCGTCATCTGATACCGTACTGCATTCGAACACGAATTATTGTCAACGTTAAGAAAGAACTACCATGCTATGGAAAAAATGCTACATTTGACGAATTGAAACAAATGAATATCACTGCAGACGAATTGATGAAATGGTTTGCTCCTATAGACTTGATCTCGGATTACCAAGAGTTTCTTGCCAACGGTTTTCGAGAAAACCAGTTGTTTTGCAATTGCTCTCAAACAGATCATTCATTT